CTCCTGTTCCCTGAAGGTAGACAGAGTCGAGGTGTGTGAAGGCATGAAGGTAGAGGAAGCAACGATCTCATCGTTTTATTCATATTTTGTTTTCAATCTTGAATACCAACCCAAAATCAAGAACACTCTGACCTTCCTCCAGCGATGTATTGCGAAAATTAATGTGAAGGGAGACCGGCCTCTGCCGACGACTGTAACTAGAGTAATAAACCTCCTCTTCTAAATGCCTCGTTTACGCCCTCGTGTACACCAGTGCCCTAAGTGCCAAAGAAAAACTTTCACTCTCATGAAGTTGGTCCAACATGTGGGACTAACTCATGCCCATGAGGCAGGCTTCTCGATCACATGTGGACTCAATGACTGCCAATCCACTTTTTCCAGTTACCCATCTTTCAGATGTCATGTTTATAGAAAACATAGAGCTTGCATTTTACCTACTGTTGATCCTGCTAGTGAGGAGCCTGCTAGTGAAAACCCTGCTTCTGAAGATTAACTTGAGCGTGTTATGTGTGATAATGATGCAGATGTCCAACCCCCCCCCCCTTGTATGGATACAATTTTATATAACTTTAAAAATAATCTTTGTAGCTTCATCCTAAAATGCAGGGAAAAAAACAATTTACCAGAATCTGTTCAGCAAGAAATACTTAGTGATGTAAACTTTCTATTTAGTTTTTTTAAGGAGAATTACGATGAATTTTTATCTTATCATCTTAAAGAAAATGGTTTTGATGTCAAAGGATGTCCTGAACTTCAGCAGGTTTTACAGTCCAATGATTTTTTTGAGGAAGCATCAAAAGAGTTCTCTTCTCAGTTCAAATTGAAAGAATACTGCAAGTCGATGTTAGACTTGACTGAACCAGTTCAATACACTTTAAGAGGGTCTACAGGACATAAAATAGGTTGCTTCTCCTATGTTCCTGTTTCTGATGTTTTAAAAAAATATTGTTCCCATGAGGATGTATGGGATGACATGGTCTCTGTAAATATTGAAGATGAACTGGTCTTAACTGACTTTTGTGATGGATTGTACTATAAAGAGCATCCTTTCTTTAGAGAATATCCAAATGCATTACGACTGCATTTTTATGAGGATGAATTTGAGGTAGTTAATCCTTTGGGTTCAAAGAGAACAAAACACAAACTGTGCGCCTTCTACTACACTGTAGGTAATGTACATGGAAGGTACAGGTCTCAAGTGAAGCATATTCATTTAGCATTACTGGTGCGCTATTCCTTTTTAAAGGAGTGTGGCTTAGATGTTATCCTAAAGCCACTGCTAGATGATCTTAAAGTGCTCTCAACAGATGGGTTTACCCTCACTGTTGGTGGGGTTGAGCAGAATGTCCATGCAGCCCTAGCTACCATTTCAGGTGATAACCTTTCAGCTCACATGATTGGAGGATTCAGTATGTCATTTAACTCAGGAAGAGTTTGTAGACATTGTATGGGAACATATACAGATATAAAAGAGAAATTTCAGGAAGATAGTTATGTTTTAAGAACATCTGACGTTCACCGGTATCACCTGGAATGTATCCAGCAAAATCCTGACAGTAGAGTAACATATGGGGTACAGTGTAGTTGTCCATTTAATGTGCTTCCTTATTTTGATGTTACTAAGTCCTTACCTCCAGACATAATGCATGACATGTTAGAGGGTGTCATACCTTTAGTTTTGAAACTTGTCCTGTGCCAAGCTCATAAAGAGAAACATATTAGCATACCAGAGGTAAACGAAGAGCTACAGAGAATGACAATAGGTCAAAATGATAGAGCAAATAAGCCGGTACAGTTGTCTGAAAGACTACTACAAAAAGGAGGCATTGTGGGCTCAGCATCTCAGAAATGGTGCCTTTTTAGACTTGTTCCTTTTTTGATCGCACATCGTATACCTCCTGAGTGTCAATATTGGCGTGTGTACCTGTTGTGCAGAGAAATTGTAGATATTGTTCTAGCTCCAACGGTGAGAAGAGAGAACCTTCCTCTTTTAGATGTACTTGTGCAAGAATTTTTGACAGAGTTGAAAGCTGTATTTGGAAATGTTATTACACCGAAGTGCCATTATTTAATTCATTATTCTAGATTAATGTCAATGTTTGGGCCTCTTCGTTCTCTCTGGTGCATGAGGTTTGAAGGCAAACACCAATATTTTAAGAATATTGCAAGTAATTGTCGTAATTTCATTAATATAGCTTCCACTCTGAGCAACCGTCACCAGTTAAAACAATGCTGGGAGTTTTCTTCAAATAATTTCTTAGATGATTTTGAGAAGGTACCAAGAAGCAGTACTAGCACTCCATTTTGTTCCTTACCACGTACTCTCCAGTGTGCTCTAAAGCAATATTTTACTGATGTTTCTTTTAGTGAAGATAAAGTAATTCAACGTGTTTCAGAAGTAACCATTAACAATGTCAAGTATGCCACACAAGATGTTTTTGTTTTGGATGTGTTGCATGGTGAGAGAATTCCTCTTTTTTTCCAAGTGAAATACATTTTTAATGTGGACACTACGTGGGTTCTTTGTGGAAAACTGATATTTCCGAAGTATTTTAGCCAGCACTTTTTTGCTTATTCAGTCAAATTTGACCAGGAATGGACTGTGATTCAGCCTGGGGCAGAGCTAGATTTTAATGCCCTTGATATGTATACAGTTGATGGTGATATCTTTGTGGCAATGAAATACTGTGTGTAAGAATAGATTAAAAGAATTTGGAGGGGAAGGATAGAGGTTGATCTGAAACCTACATGCATGTGAGGAGCCTGCTAGTGAAAACCCTGCTTCTGAAGATGAACTTGAGCGTGTTATGTGTGATAATGATGCAGATGTCCACCCCCCCCCCCCCCCGTATGGATACACTTTTATATAACTTTAAAAATTATCTTTGTAGCTTCATCCTAAAATGCAGGGGGAAAAACAATTTACCAGAATCTGTTCAGCAAGAAATACTTATTGATGTAAACTTTCTATTTTGTTTTGTTTTTTAAGGAGAATTACGATGAATTTGTACTTTTATATAACTTTAAAAATAATATTTGGAGCTTCATCCTAAAATGCAGGGAAAAAACAATTTACCAGAATCTGTTCAACAAGAAATACTTATTGATGTAAACTTTCTATTTTGTTTTGTTTTTTAAGGAGAATTACGATGAATTTGTACTTTTATATAACTTTAAAAATAATATTTGGAGCTTCATCCTAAAATGCAGGGGGAAAAACAATTTACCAGAATCTGTTCAGCAAGAAATACTTATTGATGTAAACTTTCTATTTTGTTTTGTTTTTTAAGGAGAATTACGATGAATTTGTACTTTTATATAACTTTAAAAATAATATTTGGAGCTTCATCCTAAAATGCAGGGAAAAAACAATTTACCAGAATCTGTTCAACAAGAAATACTTATTGATGTAAACTTTCTATTTTGTTTTGTTTTTTAAGGAGAATTACGATGAATTTGTACTTTTATATAACTTTAAAAATAATATTTGGAGCTTCATCCTAAAATGCAGGGAAAAAACAATTTACCAGAATCTGTTCAGCAAGAAATACTTATTGATGTAAACTTTCTATTTTGTTTTGTTTTTTAAGGAGAATTACGATGAATTTGTACTTTTATATAACTTTAAAAATAATATTTGGAGCTTCATCCTAAAATGCAGGGAAAAAACAATTTACCAGAATCTGTTCAGCAAGAAATACTTATTGATGTAAACTTTCTATTTTGTTTTGTTTTTTAAGGAGAATTACGATGAATTTGTACTTTTATATAACTTTAAAAATAATATTTGGAGCTTCATCCTAAAATGCAGGGAAAAAACAATTTACCAGAATCTGTTCAGCAAGAAATACTTAGTGATGTAAACTTTGTATTGTTTTTTTTTAAGGAGAATTACAATGAATTTTTATCTTATCTTAAAGAAAATGGTTTTGATGTCAAAGGACTTGATGTTTTACAGTCCAATGATTTTTTTGAGGAAGCATCAAAAGAGTTCTCTTCTCAGTTCAAATTGAAAGAATACTGCAAGTCGATGTTAGACTTGACTGAACCAGTTCAATACACTTTAAGAGGGTCTACAGGACATAAAATAGGTTGCTTCTCCTATGTTCCTGTTTCTGATGTTTTAAAAAAATATTGTTCCCATGAGGATGTATGGGATGACATGGTCTCTGTAAATATTGAAGATCAACTGACTTTTGTGATGGATTGTACTATAAAGAGCATGCAGATGAGGCACTTGTAGATCTGTATTTGTGGCAATGAGATACTGTGTAAGAATAGTAAAAATTACACCTTCAGATTGTACAAATATTTTAGCACTTGTGTTAATTGACTAATCTTTTGATGTTGCCTTTCTCTATAAGCATACAATGACCACTCACAGTAGCTTTTAGTCAGTATAACGCATGATGTAATGTCTCCATTAAAGTTGTTTAAATGTGAAAAAATGTGTTCATTAAAGTATTGCAAACGAAGATTGTGGTGTGCAGTAGTTATTCATTTTCCAGTATTTTAATTTGTACAATTTAACTTTTAAATCATTGATTGTGGGAAAACAAAACATTGCTTTCTTTTGATCTCATTCTTTTCTATTTATCAAGGACATTTTTGCCACTTTATAGGTACAATGGCATCGTCGCTGGGGTGGTACCCCTAACGAGAACAAATTGGTACCATCTAATGGGGTACCTTTTTGTACCAGTGGATTAAGGTACAAATGTATTGCTAAGGTACCAAATTGTCTCTCAAAGGTACAGTATAAAAGGGCACAACTCTGTACCTATGGTAAGGGTACCATTTCTGTACCTCGGGGGTACCACCCCAGCGACGAGCCATTTGTACCCTTGAAGGAACATATTTGTACCTAAAAGGCACAAACTGTAGTGGTACTTCTTTGTACCCATTAATATGGTACAAGTTTGTTCCCCTTGGGGGTACTGCCCCAGCGACGAGCATTTGTACCTTTTTTTTTACTTTTCTGTACCTTTATTTCTGAGAGTGTACCCCAGGAAGGAAAGGTCGACCAAGGAAAGAACAGCCCATAGTTATTCCAGAAGATCTTGGTCTGGCTGAGGAAACAGATCCTTCTCCTGTCACACTTCCCATCACAGTAATACCCACTACAGCAGAGACAGTGCCTATTCAACCAGCTGAGCCACAACCAGAGCTGGTGCCTGTGGAAGCAGCAAGTGAAAAACCTCTCGAGGAGTTTCTGATCGAGGATCTGGGGCCGGATGAGGAGGAAGACATGCCTCAAAGAAGCCTTATCATTGATACAGGTATTTGGGGAAATGGCCCTACATTTTTCAGTAGTGCATGGTCTCCATTAATTACTGGGTTATTCATTTGTAAAATGATATATATTGATTTGTCAATGCAAATGAATGCATGTTGGTTTTTTAGGTGATAGTGAGCAGCCATTTGCTGATGTGCCTGAACAAAGTGAAGTCTCAATGCCAGCATTTCTCCCGCTACCTGGTCCTTCTCAAGCAGACAGCCTAAGCCTATCTGAGAATGTACTTATCTGAGTATCTATTTTCTACAGTAAAATAAAGCATTTTCTATATTTACTTTATCTCAAAGCATTTCAAAACCTGAAACAAGAAAAAGTGTATATTTATTAAAATTGTTCATGTTTCTGTGTATATAAGCCACTCATCAATATACTCTGTCCAAATTATTTCAATTAAAAAATAAAAATATGAAATCTAGTATAGCACTTTTGTGCCCCCTGGTGATTATAAAATAGAACTTTTAATACCAAATAACCAGATATTTTCCTTTAACCTCTATGACAAATAATCAGTTTAGTTTGTTTGTACAACTTACTTACTTTAAAATAAACGGGTTTTATATTTTGTCTTTGTCTACAGCAATTTCTTCATTGGATCCATCATCCATCTATGAGAATCTATTTTATTTGCAACATTTTGTAAACAGTACTTCACTGGACACATATTCAACAAATTCTAAAATGCAACAAACAACACACAAACTATGATTAAAATACAAATTTTATTACGTTGTTAAACTACAAAATTCTAGGACAGTGCAACCCCATACAGTTTCAAACCATTTTTGCTGAGCACAGTATGTTAATCTATAGAAAGTCAATGCTGCGAACCACAAGAATATCTTTAGGTGTTTTGTGAAGGTCTTAAAATTATTATTTTTTAATGACAAGGATGCTGCATCAGTTAGGTTTGAGATTTACTTCACGTCCTGCTGCTATTAGTGCACACACACACACACAAAAAAATACACTTTTTTTATTTTTTTATAATTATACAAATTAAAGGGTAACTAACCTAAACATTTCTGTCATCATTTAATCACCCTCATGCCACTCCAAACATACATGACTGTATTTCTTATGTGAAAAATATTTTGAAGAATGTTGGTAACCAACCAGTTTTGGTGAACACTGACTTTCATTATATGGACAAAAAACATTTCAAAGTTTGAAGGCGAGTAAATGATGACTGATGATGATGACATTTTCATTTGTGGGTGAACTATCCTACAAGTAATTTTCACTGAAAGTGCAAATCTGACAAAACTCACACAATATTTGTGAGTTCTGAACTCTGCACAGGTTTGACTCTCACAACCTCCGCACAACCATCTCCAAACCAGCAGGTGATGTCAGCTGTATCCAGGGTAAAGAAGAACAGGCGGTCTTGACAACGAGTGCGACGATATACTGATCTGGGGTCAGCTGACAGAATGCCGTGGATAGCAGCCACTGCTTCATTTGGTCCTTTCAAGAACTGGAACTTTGGTCTTGTGCTGTCTATTAAATAAGAAATCAATTAGAAAAATGACATTTGCCTTGATTAGAAAAACACTCAGGTATCAGAACGATCTAATACCTGTACTGTCGCAGGGAAGAAACTCTTTGAGCTCTTTATCAGCATTTGCAGTAAATCGCACATTTAGGTTACTGATAGGAGGTGCCCTGACCCAGGCAGCGATAGTACTGTAGTCCTCATGGCCAAATCTGAGACTGGATGAACTTAAAGGGTTTGTACCCGCCGAAGTGCCTTCAGGAGTATCCGTGTTTTTGTCTTGATTCTCAGGGAAAAGTTGTTGCTGTCTGAGATAGTTTTTAACTTCTTCAAGTACATCAGTCACTTCACTGGATCCAGACCTTTCTGAAAAAGAAAAATCTGAAGCAGCGGCTGGACAAAGACTGAGCTCTGAGGAAGGTTCAGATGATGTCTCTAAGGTGTCTGGTTCTTCATCTAGATCCATCGGGTCTGTGAATGATGATGTTTGTTTATATTTACTGTTGGTATCATCTGTTCTTGTTTTGGGAGAATCGTAGTCTGGAATATACGGCTTGATGTCCAGGACAGGTGTTCCAGCGATAATATCAACCCCTGACAAGTGAAGTGTATCCCCTTGAAAATCAAATGATAACTGATTACTTATATTAAATATTGACTATGTCAAACTAGATGCTACACTAGCTGTCCCGTTAAGCGGAAAGTCATTGTTCGTTTTCATTAAAGCTTTGATTGATGATGATAATGGCCTAAAGTGAAAATAAAAAGTCACTGTTATCACTGTTTCCTCTGAAAAATCTTACAATGCAGTACATCTCTACACAATATATTGAATCTATCCAAGTTAATTTAATAATAATAGTAATTATAATACAAACACAACAACCAACTGGTTAGTTAACAGTTGTTGTTAACAAACTAAAACTATTAAAAATAAATTGTCAATTGACAAAGCTGAAATAAAATAAAATATAAATTTGAGGTGAAAAACATAAAACTGAGAAATGTCACCTTGCCAACTAACTTAAATAAAATGTAAATAACATTTAAATAAATAAAAGTACTAAAATGACTAAAAGTGAAATAAAAAGAAATCTAAAAAGAAATAAATGCGAACAAAATTGCTAAAACTTAAACACTGAAAACATAAAAATAAAGCCTATTGCAAAATATTAATAAATACTATAATAGTACATAAATAACACTGCACAGATGACAATCATCTTTTAGAGCAGTGGTTCTCAAGCTTTTTGGCGCCCCTCATTGTTCACAACATTATTTAAAGGCCCAATGACTTTTTCTGTTGTTCTTGATTTACTGGATAAGGATTAAGGATAAGAATTTTTTCACTCAAATTCTTTCTGACAAAATATTTTTTGAGCTAAGCATAACTAGAAAAATGTTTATTCATAAAACGCTCATGGAGTTTTTAGATAATTTATTAATATACACAACTTCTCCAGTTCTAGAAATTACATTTTAAAAATTAGGCGGCCACGGCTCATACAGTATATCTGGACATTGGAAACCCTGGTTCTTCAAGAGGTGAATTAAAATGGGAAATACTTCTTATCATATCACAAGTTATTGATAATTAGTTGTTTTGGCTTCTTTAATGCTTATTTTGTTGTCATTTTGATGCCCCCTTGGAAGTTTGCTAGGTTGAGAACCGCTGTCCTAGAGTTCATTAAGTCCAGTAAAACTGTGGTACCTGTGATTCTTTCTAGCTTTGCCAAGGTCAGTCCCAAAGCATTGGGCCTGTGGGGGCTGCGGGTGGAGTACACCCCCACCCTCTGGCCATTCAGACGGGGCGGCTTTACTTTGGCTTTATAGCTCATTTGCCCATTCTTATGGAAAAGGAAAATGATCCTGAGAATGTGAAAGAAAAAGAGAAAAGAGTTCACACAAATGTGTACTTAACTTTCAATTGTCATTAATTAGGTCTGGCCACTTGTCAGGCCTGTTTAGAAACATTATCAAATGTACTTCTTCTAACGGCTAAACCCATTCACTTTTGATTTTGAATGACCAACATTATCTCCTACAGTGCGTTGCTATTTAAAAAGTGCAGTTCAGTTAAATTATTCTATCTATTGTCCAGACCGTCCAGCTAAGCTCTGAGGATGGTGGTGAACATTATGATTTTGCCACTAGGCTTGCAATGGTATTAGATTTTCATGGAATGGCAACTGTCTCAGAAAATATCATGGTTTCACAGTATACAGTATTACACTATAATTGTTATTATTATAAAAGCTACATACATCATAACAGTAACACGTACGCTTAAGAACGTTGTTTGGCTGAACATTATGATTGAAACTTGAAACCATTTTTAATGGAAGTATGTGTACAAAAGTCTGCCTTTTGAAAAATAAATTAAAAAGATATGTACATCTTCCATTTGAACAAAATAAATTAGTTCTAAAAAAGTAATAGTCACATTTACTGTTGTTCTGCTATTTTTTTGTGAGCAAAATCCAGTCATTTCAACAGGAATACTTTTTGTATATAATATAATTTTGAATGAGGAGGAAAGTTTTCCCCACGCTGATTTAGCAACGGGTTGAAGTTGGTCAAGCGGATTTGCCACGGTGACAAACAAAAAGCTGCACATCAACTGTCAAAAGTTTTTTTATGTTGTTTTTTAGACAACATACATGGCAGTATATATATATTTTTAAATACTATTTTGTTACCGAGATCAGATTATTATAGCAGCATGAATTTCTTGATTTCTGTCTGTAATGAAAGTTGGCAAATCTGACAGGTAGTCGAGGAGGAAAGGAGATGATGTGGATGCGCAAATGAAATTCTCTGCCCAGATTTATTTGTCAATATCCTAGATAAGCAATTTTTTAATACCTTAGAATACCATGAAAACCAGTATACCACTGCAAACCTATTTTCTACACACCAGATATGGGAGTATTGTTCCAGTCCAACTAAAGAATGTTCAGGATTATTGAAGACTGATGGGTCAATCTTCAAGCTGGCCCGTGAAGAACTGCATATTGTGGGTTGACGTGGAGTGCCAGTTTTGACTGCAAAACATGAGCTGATATATCCAATAGGTACCGTCTGAATACGCCCTGGGATTTTAAAGACAGACACATATGGTTTAGACATATTTATATGGCATGATGAAAACAAGGTGTGACCACAGCCTCTATAATACTTAGGTTGGTTAACATGGTGGCGAGAACAACATCTGGACCCAAAAAGAGACTCTGACAGCTTTGACATTATCTATGACAGTTTATTCATCCAATTCTGAAAAGGTGCAGCAAATACAAATGTTGCCTACAAAGGTAGACTGCTGTATCAAAAGTGAAAGTGCTGTTAGGTTCATTTTACCTTGTTCTAATAATTGATTAATTCCACCGGGGCTCTGAGATGGGCTTTTGCTCACTGATTGTAATCTGTCATCATGTTTCATACAGTCTGTCAGCATGGACTGAAGAGACGACAACTGCTTCTTATGTGCTCGTATGGATCCATCAATCTGCTGTCTGTTTGATCAACAAACCAATAAAGGAATCACATTTTCAGGATAATCATATCTCATATACGACAATCATGCTGATTTGAGGACCTACCTGAGATTTTTTATCTCTCTTCTCATTATTGATGCCTGCTGTGTCAATTTTCTGACTTGTTCGGCACAACTACACAATGATGGCGGCATTTTAGTGATGCTAACTGTATAACTTATACACTTCAGAAATTATTTGATGTGATGGTAAACTAGTTTGTTTGTTTGTTCCATCAGTTGTTTGCTTCACTGACTGCAACTGCAATACGAACACGTGTTTCGCTATTGAGAAGAAAATGTTGGACGACCAACTACTTTCAAGGAATGACCTTCTTCTGGTGTAGTACCGTACCGCCACCTACTGTTTACTGTGCTATCAACACAGGCCATCTTAGACTAAATGCCTTACTGACCAAAAAAGACAATATCTACTAAAGCATCTCATGGGTTTCTTTAATATAAATGTGAAATTTGGAAAGCGAGGAAAATTATTTGTATGTCAATGACAATGATTTTTTAAAATGTTTTTGAAAGAAGTCTCTTATGTGTACCTATTTGATTAAAATACAGTGAAACAGTAATATTGTGAAATAGTATTACAATTTAAAATAACTGTTTTCTGTATTTAAAAAAAAAAGTAATTATTCATGTGTGATGGTAAAGCTGAATTTTCAGCATCATTACTGATGGTCTTCACTGCAGTCTTCAGTGTCACATCACATGATCCTTCAGAAATCATTCTATCCTGATTTGGTTATCAAGAAACAGTTCAGATGATTTTTTTTTTTTTTTTTTTTTTCTGTTTAATACTTTGTAGTGTATATGGCTTTACTACGATCTATAGTCTTTTAACAAAATTTGGATTTGACAAAACTATGTGTAATTTTTGACCATCGACATTTATGAATGTGATATTTCTGTCTAACTGTTGTACAATAACGACGCACGGACGTTAACCTCCAGGGGGCGGTTGGAGAACTGTAAAACAGGGGAATAAAACGTCCTATCCTCCATAATAGCAAACGCGATAGCAGTCCTCATTCTACGTTGTGCAAATAATGTTCTATGATCTAAACGGATTTCGTAAAAAACAAACAAAACAAAACAAAAAAACAAGAAGAAAGAATGCCCTAAGAGGAAATGAAAGAAAATAATGATTTCACAACAGTCCAGTAGCTGGCACTGTGCACATGGCATGCGCATTTCCAATAAACCAAAGACGAAGAAGAAGAAGAAATGCGTTTCCGTATGTCACGTGGTGTTTTTACCCAATGAGGTGTTTGTGCGTTTTATTTTGAACGTCGTATTGGCGGTTAAGTCGATAACATTGTGGGTTTTTTTATAGTAACGTTACTCAAGTCAGAATCAAAATAAGCAGTAACGTTAAGCGCTTATGAGACGCAAAGGTAAGAATTAAAGAAGGAACATACTTTATTATAAATGTAATCACTAATAATATTTTGTGTTAGTCGATGTCGCTTTGTCCAATTTACTTTATTATTCTGCTAAATAAAGACTGTGTTTCAGAACTTACCGAGTTAACTTAACCTACCTTCCTGAAGTTACCTGAACAGTAACTGTTATTTAAGCAGCATTTGATAGGCGCGTTTGACAGTCTGCTGGGCTGGCTAACGTTAGGCGTTGAGACACCGCCAAAGTTGACATTTCTTGAGAGGATGCAATCAGTGTTATTTATGTCTTAATGCTAATATATATCTATAAAGATATCAAACAGCTAAACTACTTAAAAAATGTACTCTCTGTAGAAACGTTAACCTCATTTCAACAATGTCTTAAGCAGATGTGAGAAATGGGTGCAATATATAAAGACCTCCGATGCAAAAGCCTCTAAAAGCCACCTATGTCAAACATGAGATAATAACATTGAGTGGATGCTCTCCGCACATACCGTAGTATAACGTTACGTTCATCAATACTTTCACTTCAAACTCACTAAATCCCAGACTCAGCCCATTCAGAAATGTCGGTACTTAGGTAGAAACATATAACGTTACATATGAGCCTGATAAAAATGTTAATATTAAAGAAAAAAAGTTTTAGAGGACTTAGTTAGAGGTTTTTGCATCTGCATTCTTCATATAATTGTATATTTAACTTCAAAGCAATGTAGCCTAGTTATCTCGGCTTGTAGTGTAAGCAAGATTTATATATAAAAAAGCGTTTATATAGATCTAACCTTCCCTAAAGATGTACTTATTACTGTTGTTGTTTGCTTATGATATGCTCTATTACATATTCATCAAACTCTTGTCAAAATGAAATCAACATGACTTTTAAAAACTGCTGATTTAACCTATGTTGTGTATACTTGACGATGGTAATGGAAAATCGTAATGTTAAATTTTTTTTTTTTATGTTCTTTGAGAAGTTTGCTTGTTGAATCATCTTGTATCATGACCTCTACTTAATTATTGTGTGATTGCAGATATTAATCTAAAAACATGTCATATGTCAGTGGCTTGTCAAATGTGAGTACTACATGCCCATGCATATTTTAAATATAAAAATGAATCTATTGTTCCTAGCATCAGTATGACAGTTTGAGCTCTAGGAATAATTGATTTTGTTCTGCATTTCAGCCCAGATCAGATAGAGTCCCATTCAGAGATGTACAGAATGAACTGCTTAATTTGCAGGACACTCCAGCTCTGATGCTTAAACCTGTGCCAATGCATGAGAGGGACCCTAAAATGAAGGTATGAAGTCATTCCTTCACTGATTTCAGATCACTTGCTTTATCTTTCTGTGATGTCTAGTTCATAGTAATAAAAATAAGGAATTTTACTATTATTATGATATTTCTATTTCCAACAGCCTGAAGTTGTCCCTGATGAAAACCCAAGCTTAACTATTACAACAGAGGTCCAAAATGATGGGCAAGTTGTTGGTGCCACTGATGAACATCAAGATGTCATATTAAAATCCTTTGTGTGTCTTGAAGGAGAAGTGGTAGTTGAGGATGAACCTGTAAAGTCAGATGAGTCTGTTCTCATCAGTCGTCTGGCACTGGAGGATAATGACCCACTTGACCCAAATGAAACTGCCGAAGCCGAGGGCACAGAGGATAATCAGACCAGTCCAGAGCATGTTGATCATCCATACTATTATAGGAGCAGGTCGACTGGTTCAGATTCTTCATCCATGCTGTATCAGGGGGAAGAGGTTTCCACCTGTGAGCTGGGAAATGTCACATTCAAATCCCTCATGTGCTTAGGTGGAGAGATTCAGGTTTCAGATTGCTCACCCATCTCTAATGAATCGATTCTCACAAAAGATCTAACATCAGGAAATCAGTCACAATGTAAAAATACTCATGTTTCTAAAGTTGCTGAATCAGTAAACCCTCAACCTTTGGGACATTCTTACTGTATTTGGAAGAACCATGTGTCTTTATGTGAAGATAGTAGCACTATCAGTACAGTCAATGCTGATGACACTTCTCAGTCAACTCTCGAAGACATTGGAGGTACTCCGTGCAAGCCTAAAAATACAGTGAATCTAAACAATCACAAGAACACTGATCGCTCTGAAGGATGTCATGGTGTGTTAAGCAGAGAAGGAGAGGTCACATTTAAATGCTTGTGTTGTTCTGGGGTTGAAATAGAAATAGCTGATTTATCCAAGGTGTCAGAAATGTCTGTGCTCATGGAGAATCTCGCTGAAGAACAAAGTCTGCTTAGTTTAAATGACATCAGTGAAAATGACGGTCAAAGCTTTACAGCTTTGGCACCTGCAAACAAGCATGTTGACCACATCTACTGCCATACTAAAGAAAAGTCACAGGTCCTAAATATATCAAGCACTGAAAATGAGGTCTGTTCCAAGTCACAGCTTTCCTCAGCAGGTATTTTGGAAAAATCTGAAAATACAATTGGTTATACAACATCGATTATTGGAAACATAGAGAAAATATATGAATCAGTCACATGCCATGAAATGGAAGCATCAAAGACGGTTGCTAGCAAGGAGTCAAGCCAATTCTTGTCAGCACTGAATAGTGAATATAAAATGGAAAGTACAAATGCTGTACTGTTAAGTGATAATAATGACAAACTTAATTTGCCCAAGGATGACTCTTCTGCCACGACTGAAAAGAATGTGGAGCATCTTGATCAACAGTTTCTGCCAGAAAGGACCATGGAAGTTTCACTTTCTGAGGAAATCCTTTGTCCTCAAGGTGCCTCTTTTGAAAATGTTGCCCATAAAGCCAGCATTCTCAAAGATAAGACACTGGATTTAAAGGATGAGGAGAGCCACCCAGAGATTGAAGTTATGCGGTTGTGTAATAGATCTGGTGAAGCTGTCTCTGTTCATCAAGATCTTCCTAGTGCTCTTGTTCTGACAGGTCCCTGCACTCCAAAGACGCCCACCCTAAGCAGGAGTGTTTTGAATAACCACACAGCCGAGAACTTATTGAGCCATCTGTGGCCTGAACTCCCGGAGAGTCCCATGCCGCCTCCACTCTTGAACTCCACATCCCTGGCCAATGCTTTGAGCTATACACCTGTTCCTCCAGACCCACCCAATAAAAAGGGTTTGGAACCTAAATGGGCTTCTGCAGACCATCATAAGCTGTTGAAAGGCCCTCCTATTGTGGGCAATGGGCCTCTACAGGAACAGCTCATACAGATGGCTGAACTGTTAATGGCTGCGTCAGGAAAGGTGGTTGTTCCAGTTTCAGCACCAGTGAATCACCACAATGCCTTAGTGGGCACTTCTCCAATTGCGATGCGTAGCGCTTGTGTGTGGAGAACCCCAGTTCAACTGATGGAGCGGAGCGTTAATACTTCAGGAGCCGTGGAGATTTTAAAGGAAGTTTATGTTTCTGATGCCAGCACTTCAACGGACTCTCTGCTGTGGAAGTAAGTTAAGATAAGCAAATAAGCATGAATCATTGACTCTGTTGATGTGATCTATATTGTTTCTGTGTGACTTTTTTTCTTTGAAGCCTTACTCCTGGAAATCTGGAGCATTTGTCTAGATCAGAGCTGGAGCAGAGACTGACTTCAACACTCATCATGGTGGAGGTTCTTTCCCAGCAGCTCACTTCTGCACGGGCACATAATCCGAGCAAAGACGCTTCTCCATCTGATCTCAGAGATAAACTCATCCAGACGGACCACACTGAGCTCAGACAGGTAAGAACCCCCATAGCTAATATGCGTTGTATCCAGGTATGATGGCAATGATCAACCAAATTGCGGAAACTTCCCCGGTTAAAATTTTGGATTTTGTTCAATTCAATTCAAATTTATTTGAATAGCGCTTTTCACAATACATATTGTTTCAAAGCAGCTTTACAGAAAGTGCATTTCAGAAATGTACATAGAAAAAATACAGTTAGTTAATCATGTATTAATTAGGGCATAACATATCGCTGGCGTTGAGTCGTCTCTCCACAGGCGTCGAGTCGTCTCTTCATAGGCGTTTAGTCATCTCATCTCAGGTGTTGGGGCATCTGAAGTCTCCGTGAGAGGCTGGATACAAACTGGAACTGACAAACTCTATTTACCTTGGGACTAGCGTCCCGAGATAACAGCAGAAAAGCAGATGGGAAATAATTAGCATAGCTGCTGTTCATAATATGAATGCATTCGATCTGATTCAACAGTAAGTAGTATAAAAGGTAAGCATTATGTGAATGCTTGGCTAAAGAGATGCGTCTTTAATCTAGTTTTAAACTGGGACAGCGAGTCTGAGCCTCGAACAATATCAGGAAGGCTATTCCAGAGTTTAGGAGCTAAATGTGAGAACGCCCTCCCTCCTTTAGTGGACTTAGATATCCTAGGAATGACCAGAAGCCTCGAATTTAGTGATCTTAAAGAACGCGATGGATTGTAGGGCGGTAGAAGGTCCATTAAATACACAGGAGCTAGACCATTTAGGGCTTTATAGGTAATTAGTAATACTTTGTAATTGATTTGTTTGATTGATTGATTTTGTTCATATTTTTTCTGAAGAAAGACAAAGATAAATAGTGATGAAAGCCAAAATATTAAATGTCATGAATGTGTTTTCACTGAGTAATCCACTATTTTGTGGATTGGGGTCAAAATGACAATTTTCACCTGAGATATGGAGCCAAATTGCAGGGGGGTAAACATGATTTTAGAAAGATGGCAGCATCATTATTTAATTTTTACACAGAGATTAGTACGTCTATTAGTCAAATCTACTGACTTTAGCAATCTTTGTTGCATTATATGCCAACGGTGACAGTTCAAAAATGGAAAAAAGCACTTTTTTGCCCCAAGTTTGCATGCCTGTAACTCAAGAATTATTAAAGATATCTTAATATCCTTTTATATTTTGGTTTTTAACAAACATTTCTTTTGGTATCTTGGCATTGCTCGATGATCTGGCGAGAGCGTGTCTGCAAACAGCGGCAATTTTGACGAGAGCAACAAAAAGCTGTAAGGAAAGCGTGTGTGAAAAGCCCTTAACCATAATGGAGATGGTTTGTGCATGTTTTATGCAAATAGCTAACCTTGTGCACACTGTCGCTCATTTAGAATACTTCAAATTCACTAACATCAGAACGATGTTAGGAATAAATTCATGTGCGTAGTCTGCGTACGAGCGTGTTGTGAATTCAAACGATTTTTTATGTACAAATACGAAATCCATGCAATTATTAGTGAATGAGACCCACTGTTTTTTGTTTAAAACAGATCATGATTCTCTCTCGATTCTGAATAGACAACTAAACAAAATAACACGTAATTTACTAGAGGTTCTAACAAAATGTTAATTGCTGCTGTCTATTAAATTTTAATAATAAATTCAAAAGGTGATTTATTCTGTTTTGATCACTACGGTAGATATCAGTGTTTATATTCGAGCTATAAACTTTTATCCCAGTACTTCTGTGATAATTTGAATTATTGTTATAGATATTATGAGACTGTGTGGTTGAAAAAGATTGTTTGTGAAGCTGTTTCATACCTATACATGAGAACTGCTCTCTCTTGGTCAGCGGCAGCGCCAACGTAGATTTGAATGTTCAGCTGTGATCGTATTTGTCAAAGGGTTAGTAGACCTAGCCGAATCGTTGTCATTTAGGGATAAGATCCCAATCTTTTGACAATTAATCAGATCTATTACATTTTAAACCATTAAGTTGATCATGTTTTATGTATTTATTTCATTAGACATCATTTTTGATTATAAATTTGTATAAAATAAAACGACAATCATGTTTACACTTATTCTTAAGGTCTAACAAACATGTGGAATTAATTTCCTTCCCCATTAATTGTATGAAATTAATATTGTGACAAATGTCGACATAGAATGATATGTAAAAAAAAAAAAAAAATCCTGACCACTGAAAGTTCAGTGCTGTGTTAAGCTGCCTATTAAAACATTTTTTTGTCGAATAGACTGTGCACAGGAGGATTTTGGACCAATGAGATTACTCAGCCGGAGGAACAATCAAAGCTCCACAAAAAAAAAAAAAGCTTCCTACAAAGCTTTCTGTAAAAAAAAAAAAAAAACTCTGAATGTGTCTTGTTTTGATTTTTCTTTATCTTGTCTTTATTTGCCAGAATGGGACATACAGAGATTTGTATGGGACAGCACTGGAGAGAATTCAGAGTCTTGAGCATGATCAGGAGGTTCTTCAAAGTTTATTTAACAGCATTCAATCAATGCGGGTTGGGATGGTGAGACATTTCTCTTAATTTTTCAAAGCTACACTTACATCTAAAAATTAAAGTGCTTAAAATGTTATAATTATTCTACAGAATTCATTTAAGTCAAGCACAGAGGATGCCATCTTCAAAATGAAACAGATTGGAAATACTGTTAATGTTGATCAGGATACTTTATCTAGACAGGTAAGTCAAAGAGCTTCATAGAAGATATTTGCCAAGGACTCACAGCTCATAATAATAAGTCTTGTGTTATGTAGGCCAGTCAGATGAAGTCTCTTTATGGGAGGTACAAGGAAACGCTCCATAGGATGGAGCAGAAGATGAAAGACATGAGACATCGCATGAATGATTCTCTAATGGAGAAGGAAGCGGTGAGATGACATTTTATTGGTTTTGCTGAAGCTTTAGAACACAAGATTTTTTTGATGAATATGCTGTTGATCTTAGCCTATCCTCTTATCCTGTTCAATTGTTTTTGTTTGTCAGGCCTTCAGTGTAACGCAGCAGCTGAGGAATTACCATACTTCTCAGGTGGCCAAACTAGAGCACACTATTGGGTCTCATCAGGAACTGATGTCAGGCCTCAAACTGGCCTACCCATCACTGGTCTGCTCATATTGCTTGAATCACTGCCTCAATTTATATGAAAATATAATGTTCCCATTAGCTTAACTCTTTCCCCGCCAGAGTTTTTTTTTTTTTTTTTTGCCAGCCTGCTCCAGCATTTTTTTTAATCAATTTCACAAAATTTCATGGTCCCCACTCCCCAGAATATTTTGTTGTGTGAATGTCTGAACATACAATATAACAAAAGAAAGAACAGAGCCTCTACCTAAAAAAATGCATTATTTTTTATCAACACTTGAATGTGGGTACGTTTCATAAAACATTTTGAACAAAAAGCTGAGAAAATTTCATTTTTCTCAAAATGTCCGGATCGGATTCAAAA